CCCGTTCGACCCTTCCCTCCCTTACCTGCAGCCTAACAAGGACAAGAGCATCACCCAGGTGGACGCCTGCAATGGCCTCCTCCTCTACAGCGGCTACAAGAAAAACAATGTGGACCCTTGGACAGAGGGTGATTTCCGTTTTATGGTGTGCAATCCAGCCACTGGGAGGTGGGTGGAGCTGCCCCCTCAACCTCAACCGCAGGAGCCGGCAAACAGATATAGCCGCACCGCAGGTCTGGCCTTCGATCCGGCAGTCTCATCCTATTTCCACGTTTTTCATTTTGAGGAGACATACTCGACGAGCATGACAGGAGTGACCATCTACTCGTCGCGGAGAGGTGCCTGGAGTCACAGGGACAGTGTGATCCCTGAGAAAGTGGATCTGTTCTTCTCTAGTAAATGTGTCTTTGTTGGCGGTACGATGTACCTGATTGGCAACCTGGAGAACAACGAGTCTGTGCTGGTGGGGGTGGACATGCAGGGGAAAGTTTGTAAAACTATCTGCGTGCCACGTCGCAGGGCTGCTTACACTATGCTATAGCTTCTGTCGATGCTAACAATAAAATCCTAGTTTCTGAGATAGAGCTCTGGTGCCTCAAGGATCGCGACAGTAAACAATTGGTCCTCGAGCATACTGCCAACATTGATAAGCTTATGAGCATGACTGGACAGAAGCACAGGGTGCTTAGTATTCATCCAGACTGCGACACCATTTTCCTTGTTTCATGTGGAGATGGTACCTTGGTATCATACGACATGCGTCATTAGAAAGTTGGCCGTATCCTTAATCTCGAGAAAGAGAACGCACAACGGTTTCTGCCTTATGTTCCTCTGTTCTCAGAGTCATTAGCAGTGGCAGATGCAGATGGGTAGTAGAGTTACCTTCAAACCAAGCCTGTGCTTCCTCTAAGAAGTGGCTCTTCTGCTGGCTGAATTATTTATCTGCGTACTTTGGAATGTGCTTGAATAATGCTGCTCAATTTTCTGGTGCTTACACCCCTGCTAGCTGGATTTTCAGGTCAGAGCAATGCATGGTAAACCTACCGATTAAGCATAATGTCATTTCCGAAGAACATTGTTACCCTTGTTCTTGTTTACCTAGGCACTGGATGTTGTTTTGAATATGTATTAGTTCCGTGGAGCTAAATTGTACTGTAATTGTCCTTCTTGTCCATAACAATCAGTTATTATGATATTCTAAATCTTAGTCCATATTGTCAACCTGCTAGTGTACTAAAAAGTTCAATCGGACTGGTCACCGGTGCGATGTCTAGTTGACCTTTTTCGTTCAGTATTTTAGCACTGCCGTTGAGAAAATTCTTTATTAATATTTGCTGTAGCTAATGATTCAGTAGAGCTTCGAATCTGTTGACCACAGAGAAATTGCATTACTGTCAAAAAATAAAATAGAATTGCAAGCTTCGATAAAAAGTTTCCATGCCGGGTGTATGTACGGTTGGTCCGTTCTTGTTATCTCAGGTGATAAACCAAAGGTACGTATTGTATGTGCTTGTGCTTCACGTATCAAAAATGTGATTTCGGCATGTACCAAGACAGGGCATTTACTGTGCTAGAAATGTAGTGGCCATACCAAACATTTAGGCTTGTCTGTAGGTTTAGATGCTTTCCGTTCTGCGCTCTTAACTTAACAGCCTTATACTGAAGCCTGGGTAGTGTGGCCGATGTGCCTTGCGGCTGTAGGCATCGAAACTGTACCCGGCAAGGAAGAAAAATCACTGTGTACATCGTCAGACTCCCAAATTCTGTCAAAAATGAAAAATCCTGATGTCAATATTCTGCTGTGCACTAACTACCATGAAAACCTGCAAGGTTGAAAATCATCTTTAGGAAAAACAAAACAAATCAGCATATTGCTGGTGCTTCATGATTCGGTAAAGAGGCAGGAAAACTGCGTGAAGCAAAGGGCCCTGTAGAGAGGAAGACGAACCGCATACTCTTGTAGTATCTCCATTTCTGCTATAATTTCGGGTGCAGTAAAAGCATATAAGAAGCAGATTGGACTATTTCAGAGGTTTCAGTCCAGGTTTCTGTTTCTGAAGCTGCTCCTCTCTTGTCAAGGTACACGCGTATTAGTAACAAATAGCAGCATTTGCTATCTTTTTTCTTTGTGTCCTCTAATTATTTTGCCAAATACTTCATGTAATGAAGTAGCACTGGTGGTTAACAGTGTACTAGCACAAAGATAACATGTTGGGTGTCCATGTTGGCGGTGGTAAGAAATCAATAGCTGATGGGTTAGGTTGATTCGATTTGCTGCAGTGCATTAACCATGAATCTTCCGGAATGTGTAATACTCATGTTCATTATATATCGAATGGTTTTTCTTCTAGCTAAGAAATTTAGTTGAGCAATTCATGGTCGTGTATGCCAGTATTTTTACATCATGCAATGCATATATTATTCTACATCACTGATTTGAGTAATATCCATCACCCATACATACCATCTGTCCCGGCTAGTGTCATATGCCAGAGGGGTCCTGGACCAGATTTAATTATTTTTTACATGTGGAATGCGTGGGGTGTAGGACTAATGGCACGTCCCTGATCCCATGGTTAGCTCTATTGTTCTAGTCGCATTTGATGATGCTTATATACTGGAAAAAAATTAAGTGTTGCGTGCTTTTTCAGATGGTTTTTATACGCCTACAAGATGCTCAATTCAAATTCATAAGTGGTTACTGGAGTACTTCTACTGGCAAGAACCATAGCAACGATTTCCCTATGACTGTTCCCTCTGGCAGTTCTTATGTTTTGGTTGACAGCAAATGTCTTCTCCAAAGCTATATGGGTCCTCTTGTTTGTAAACTAGAACTCAAAAGTTGTTCCACCCTGCCTTTTGTTTAAAACATTGTAGTGTGAAGTTTCAACTTTAAACATATGTAATGGAAGTTTCAATTGCTTTCGATGAAACTTCAGCTTCATTCTCTGCAATGCATAACAACTTTTTTTGCCATTTTTTTCACAGTAAGAGAATGAATGCAATCTTATTTCTGCTTGTTTCAGCCACTGAAGTACTGCCCATGCATTTACACATTAACTTGTCAGCCCTGTTAGCCTACAATTTTTCTGACCTCAGTCTGACAGAACTTGTGTAAGTGAAAATGCAACTTTAGTTATCAATTGATTATTTCTGCACCTGTCCTATGATGCTGTCTAGGTATCAACTGAACGAATTCAAGTGGATATATTACCTTTTGTCAGAAAAAAAATTGGCTTGGTCATAGGGTCGTTCTGATCTAGCTGCATGATGGGTTAAGTACCATCTTTGAGATCTGAATGCACTTCCCTGTTGACTACTTAACTATGCACTTCCCTGTATAAGCATTCTGGTTTATGGCTATTAGCCTGCTGCGGCTACTACTAGGACGGCATCACCACGACGACCACCACCTGGTACCACTGTTCGGTTATTCCAGGCATGCCTGAACTATTTGACCCTACTGAACTCTTAATTTTCATTTTCGCAAAAAAAAAAGAACTCTTAATTTTCATGTGCCGAGCTAGCTAAGTGTGCTCCAGGGGACAAATATACTGATGCAAGAACTATGAAGGCTTGGCAGATCCAAACAATGCTCCGACTTATCATCATGTATATTAAGGTATATTTTTATATTGTTTTCCGCAACCCTGATTGCTGACTGAATGTTGATGCGTTTGCAATGTGTCATGGGTCTTTCTGCTAGTGCTTTTGGAGCACTGACCGAATTGCGGTACATCTTTCTGATGTTTTGCTATATATGCGATGTTTATTTTTGCAACCTTCATTGATTGCTGGATGTTCATGGGTCTTGCTGAAGTTTTGTCACCCGTCCGTATTTTCTTCATGCATGTTGAGATAATAAGATGTATTATTAAACATGGCTGCTTATTCCTTGTGTCTATTCAATCAGGGCAATTAGAGTGCGTTATTTTGCAGGCATTTGATGGCTCCACCGTTCCTACACATGCGTTTGCTGCCTGTACCTTGACGAACTTCTAGTGGTCTTAAATTTCAGACGAGCAATTAACCCAGAGCAACATGGTATGGGCCGCACTATTTTTGAAACTGATTGCTTGGCTCGGCAGCAGACGATTGTCACTGATGCAGCCGATCGTGGACCTCTTGCTGTGTTGTTCCGGGAAGCAAAGTTCCAGCTCCATACTAGTTTCATAGATCATCGTGTTGTGTACTCCCCTAGGGCTTGTAACTCCCCGGCGCATGTGCGGGCCTCTCTTTGTTCAAAGGGTTCCACCGACAGCCAACATGTTTGGTACTCGGATATCCCTGACGATCGTGTTGTGACCGCCGATTTGGTTGGTTCAAAGTAATTGGAATACCAGGTGTTCTTAAAATAAAATCAGACAAGCAACCCAGAGAAAGGAAGAAGGCAAGGCAGGTGTCCAGTGGGAGTGCTGAGGACGCAATGCAATGTGTCCTTGCCGCAACCAGCTGTTCAGACGAGATCATCCAGAGTTCAAGACCGCGTACCGCAGCACAGCGCCGATGATGGCGGCGGTGGTGATTCCGGGTGGTGGAAGCTACCGCGGTTGCTTGACCATTAGCACGGGTTTTTTTTCCGAAAAGGGGGACTCCCCGGCCTCTGCATCAAAAAGATGCATACGGCGAACTTATATAAATAAGCAAATAATTAGCATGTTTTTTAAGATGCCTATTAGCACATGGGCCATGCTTGTAGTTCTCCGAGAGCCCATTTAAGTGGCCCTGAGAATTTTGATGCGAAGGGCATTTTTTCCTCTAATAAAAGCACGTTGGTCAGGGTCAACTTCTGCCTCCGAGAATCCAACTGCCGCCCTCCGCGAGCGTCTCCGTTAGCCATCGTCGTCGGCACCCACCTTTTCCGATCCGACCCCCCACGGCAGAGATCACCGCTGATCACTCAGGTCGATTTTCCTCTTCCAGATTGACGATCTCCCCTCTCTCTCTCCATTCATAGATCGATCCCACCTTGACCCTGATCCTGCCCCTGTCCCTGCTCCATGGAAGCGGGGAAGGAGGCGAGCATGGAGAGGAACACCAAGTCGAGGCTTGACATCCATCCGGGGGCGACAGCCAGCCTATTCACCGACGACCTCATCCTGGAGATCCTCTCCCGCCTCCCTGCCAGGTCCGTCTATCGCTTCAAGTGCGTTTCCATGCTCTGGCGCGACCTCATCGCCGACCCCTCCAACCGCAAGATGCTGCCTCAAACCCTCGCCGGCTTCCTCTACATATCCTACCGCAGCGGGCACCGCCACCACTTCGCCAGCGTCTCGGGCGGCGCATCCCCCTTCGACCCTTCCCTCCCTTACCTGCAGCCTAACATGGACGAGGGTATTGCCCAGGTGAACGCCTGCAATGGCCTCCTTCTCTACCGCCGCTACAAGAAAAACATGGTGACCCCTTGGACAGAGGGTGATTTCCATTTTGTTGTGTGCAATCCCGCCAACGGGAGGTGGGTGGAGCTGCCCCCTCAACCTCAACCGCCGGCGCCGGCAAACATACATTGCCCTACTGCAGGTCTGGCTTTTGATCCGGTGGTCTCGTCCCATTTCCATGTTCTTACTTTCGAGGAGACCAATCTGGAAGCTTATTTGACAGGAGTGAACATCTATTCTTCGCGTACAAGAGCCTGGAGTCGTATGGACAGTGGGATTGTTGAGAAAGCTACCCTGTTGAGGAGTAAATGTGTCTTTGTCGGCGGTATGCTGTATCTCATGGGCAACCTGGAGGACATCAACGGCGAGTATGTCCTGGTGGGGGTGGAAATGGAGGGGAAAGTGTGGAAGACTATCCGCGTGCCATATGGTTCGAAGTTTGGTACCATTGGATCATCGCAGGGGTGCTTACATTATGCTGTAGCTTCTGTTGATGATAACAATGAAATCCTAGTTTCTGAGATATCACTCTGGTGCCTCAAGGGTCAAGACAGTAAAGAATTGGTCCTGAAGCATACCACCAGCATCGATAAACTTATGAGCATGACTAGGAAGACGTACAGGGTGGTTGAGATTCATCCAGATTGCGACACCATTTTCCTGGTTTCAAATGAAGGTGATACCTTGGCAGCGTACGATATGCGACATCAGAAAGTTGGTTATATACTTAATCTTGAGAACAATACACAACAATTTCTACCCTATGTTCCTCTGTTCTCAGAGCCATTAGCAGATGCAAATGAGCAGTAGTTTTTTTTTTTACCTTCAAACCACCCTGGTGCTTGTTCGAAGAATCGGCTCTTCTTCTCTTTTTTGAAAATAAAAGGTAGAGATAGTTCTATACCTTATATATTTCAAACAGGCAAAATCCTGAAGACCAAAAGGTCCAGTACAAGAACCAAGAATCGGCTTTCTGTCTGCTGAAGTATTTGCCTGTGCACCTTGGAATCTGCTTGAATCATGTGCTCAACTTGCTGGTGCTTACACTCCTGCTTTCCTGGTTTTCAGTTCAGAGCAATGCCTGATAAACCTACAGATTAAGCATAATGTCAATTCCAAAGAACACCGTTAGTCTGTTACTCTTCTTCTTGTTTGTCAGGAACTGGCTATTGTTCTTGACATGCATGTATTAGTCCCATGGGGCTAAATTATACTGTAACCAGCCTTCTTGTCGATAACAGTCAGTTCTTTTATGATTATCGTAAGTCCTAGTGCAGATTGTGAACCTGGTAGTTTACTAAATGGTTCAGTCAGATTAGTTACTGGTGTGCTGTCTACTCAACCTTATTCATTCAGTATTTTGCTAAGCACTGCCTTTGAGCAGGTTCTTTTTTTACTTATATTTTCTGTAGCAAATGAATTCATTAGAGCTTTGAATCTGTTAAGAAGATGTATTGCATTAATGTCAAAAAATGAAATAAGGTGCAAGCTTTGATGGAAATATTTTGTGTTTGGTGTGCACGCGTTTGGTCCATTTTTGTTACTTCAGGCGATAAGACAAAGGCGTGTATCGTATAAGCTTGTGCCTCACATATGAAATTAGGATTTTGGCAGATGCCAGGACAGGTCATTTACTGTGCTAGAACTTTGAAAGTTGGTAGCAAATGTCTTCTCCAAAGCACTATATGGGTGCTCTTTTTTCTAAATTGAACTCAATAGTTGTTCTACCCTGCCTTTTGTCTAAAACATACGTAGTGTGAAGTTGCATTCGCTTTCAATGAAACTTCAGCTTCATTCTCTCCAATGCATAATAGCCTTGTTTGCAATCTTATTTCACAAAATAGAATGAATGCAACCTTATTTCTGCTTGTTTCAGCCACTGACTAAAGTACTATCCATGCATTTAGACCTTAACTTGTCGGCCCAGTTAGCTTATATTTTCCGATCTCATTTTGACACAACTTTTGTAAGTTAGTGAAAATGCACCTTTAGTTACCAATTGCTTATTTCTGCACCCTTCTTACGATATTGTCTAGGTATCAACTGAATGGATTCAAGTAGATACATTACCTTTTGTCATAAAAAAATGGCAACTCTCTCAGATTGATGTATTTGGCGAACAGCTGTGATGTTTTGTTTTCATGTTTAGATATGCACTTTAATATTTTGGCTTTCCCATCGGGCCATTCTGAAAGTGTCAAAAGACGTCTTACATTATTGGACGGAGGAAGTATATAGCCTGATGAATAACATCGTTTGTTCGTGTACGGCTATTAGCCTGCTGCTGCTACTAGTACGGCCACCACTACCAACACTATTCTGCTGTTCCTGGCATGCCTGAACTATTTGACACTCCTGACTCTTAATTTCATCCGCCAAGCTGGCTAAGCGTGCTCCAGGGAACAAATATGCTAATGCAAGAAGTATGAAGGCTTGGCAGATTGAAACAATGCTCAAACTTGTCATCTTGTATATTAAGCTATGTTTCCGCAACTCCGATTACTGACCGAATGTGCTTTTGCAATGCTGATGCTTTTGCAATGTGCCATGGGTCATGGGTCTTTCTGCTGATGATTTTATAGTCCTGTTTGCTGACCGAATGGCCATACATCTTTCTGAAGTTTTGCTATATGTGTGATGTTATTTTTGCACCTTTGCTTGCTGGATGTTCATGCGTCTTTCTGAAGTTCTGCTACTGTTCATATTTACTGCGTGCACGTTGAGATAATAAAATGTATTGTTAAACATGGTCGCCGATTCCTTGTGTTAATTCAATTGGGGCTATTCAAATGTAAAAACTTTGCAGGCACCTGTACATGAAGAATGCAGTGCTCTGAGAAGCAAAGATTCATGTTGATATATAGTGAGCCAAAGCTGTCCATTGACAACTTGTAGTGTTCTTAAGTTTCACACAAGCAACTCTGTAAGTGTGTTAGCACAAGAATCAGCAATAAACAGAACCAGCGTCTATCAGTCCACAATATTAGTATTACAGACAATTGGAATATGGAAACAAAATAAACATCGTTCCACAATACTATAGATCGTCATTTATTGGAAATAGTCCACAATACTATAGATCGTCATTTACTGGAAATAGTCCACAATACTATAGATCGTCATTTATTGGAAATAAACAGATAGCTTCGGTGTTCATCATCCCAGATTATTACAACCAAACATGGTCGCCGATTCCTTGATATAACAAACCATTTGACTAGCTAGTTACACACACCTTGTTCCCTCGCGTCGCCCTCTCGAGGGCGACTCGGGGGCGACCAATCTCCGCGTCCGCCTCCCCCCTTCTCGATTCCTTTCCTCGCCGCCGCCGGAGACGGGCGCCAGGTGCCCCGCGCGGCCGCCGATGAGGGTGGCGCTGAGGCCCTCGGCCGCGACGCCACTCGGGCTCAGGCCTAGGGTTTGAGGCGGCGGCCTCTGCTGGTGAGGGCGGCAGCGTCCCGGCGGGCGGGCGGCGCTAGCCGGTATTGAGGGCCGCGTCTACTTGGCCGCGCGGGCGGCGAGTTGGCGATGGATGCGGGCGCCATGTGGAGGGATCCCCTGCCGCTCTCCTTTGCCAGATGTGAAGCGGCGCCACCGTGTTGCTGCTTCCTCCTCGTCAGTCCGGCCAGATCCGGTGGCTGACTGCGCGGATGTGGGGTTGGGAGCTCTGGATCGGAGTAATTTCTTGGCCGGCTGCAGCGGCCACGACGCCGGCAGCGCTCTAGGCGCTATTTCCTTCTTGAAGGCGGCTTCGAGATCCAGCTCCCTCCCCCTTGTCCTCCCCCTGCACCCGGGTAAAAACCCACAACTTTAGTTGGGCGGCGGCGGTGCCCGGCTCTGTCACCTTCTTGAAGGCGCCGCTTTGGGTCCGCGGGGAGGTGGGATAGCTGCAACGCGTTCTTGGCGTTCCTGATGGCGGCGGTTCTCTCTTTAGTGGTGTCGCTTCGCCATGGCGGTCGGCTGGTCCGGCTCTCATGGTGATTGTGGTGCTCAACTCTTCGTCGTGTCTTCCTGGGGTGCTCCCATTCAGAGAGGCTGGAGGTGGAGCGGCTTCATCTTGCACGGAGCTTCGGTGGAGATGTCAAGTCATGCCTGACCAGCAGGTGCTACGCCTTGTCATGCCTGGTCGGCAGGTGCTACGCACGACAGATCTTCCAAAGACTTCAAGCTGTGTCGGCTGGTAGTACTTGGCAGCATGGTGCTGAGGTGTATCAGTGGCGACCACGACGTGCTCAGTTGTTTGCGTGCAGGGAGGAGGTACCGATGGGCGTCGTGGTGGCGTCGACGATAGCTGGACCGAGCAAGGTTGATGCATCAGTACAGTTCTGAAGATGGAGCGGTGGCAGTTGGCGGCGGCGGACTCTGAGTGCACGCCGGACTGGTGAGACCCATGCCCGGCAGGCGTCCTGGATGGGACCTCGGGTCTTAGATGTTAGGTTTGGCTGCGATGTCTGTTTGGTATTAGGCCCAAGTTATCTGCGCCCCTTCATCAACTGGATATGTTGCTTAGACGGCGGCTTTAGTCTTACCCTTGTATTACTTTGTAAGGTCTTATGAGAATAATTAATAAAGTGGCTGCATGCATCATCCAGATGCAGAGGCCGGGGGTCATCCTCCTTTTCTAATAATAATAATAATAATAAAATATATAACAAACCATAGGAAACAAGCAAATCTAGGGCCTCTTTGATTCGTAGGATTTTCAAAACGTAGGAATAGGAAAAACGTAGGATTAGAGTGACATATCGTCTTGAATCCATAGGATTGTACGAGTGTTTGATTGTGCATAGGAAAAATGTAAGATTCTTTCAAAGAGATTTGAGTGGACGAAAACTTTCCTATGAAATCTAGTGCAAATGAATCCTATGGAAAAAATTCCTATGTTTTACAATCCTACGAATCAAACAACCCACATAGGAAAAATTCTCAAGGATTAGAATCCACCAAAATTCCTTTGAGAATCATGTAACCAGAGAAGCCCCTAGTGTTCACAATTATTCCACATCGTTACAAACCATAGGAAGTAAATAAGCCTGGCGTTTAAAAACATCGGCTGCTGGCAGCAATAACATGTTGCATCGTCCGCAAACGCGTGATAGGATGACTTCTATAAAACCTAATGACATGGTATACATGGAACCAGAAAATCGCTACCTGGTCAATTGACAGCATATCCTACGGATGGCAGGGATTCTCCTTCAGCTTCATCCATAGTATGAAGCCTGGTATTTTAATATGTCAGGGATTCTCAACATGAGAAACAATCTAAATGGTTCTTAACTCCAATAGGTAGGAATCAAAGGGAATTATAGATGTATATACCTCTCATTATGTCATTGTCAACGGGAGAGCAGCTTCATAATCAATATATAAATTCCTTCACATCAACGTGCTGAAGCTTTTGACAGTTTGGATGACCTATTTGTTTGCACGAACTCATAAACTCTCCATTGCAATAAGAAACTTTAAACTTCTAAAGAGACCGAGGAAGTTCTGGAAGTGATTTAAGATACCAGCATAGCTGAATCGTTAGGCTATTGGAAAACCTGAGGTTCTTCACAATTTCTGGCAAGTGGTCCCAGCAGCATTCAGCAATTAAGTGATGGAAAAGATGAATGAAATGCTCAAAAAGTTCGGGACCAGGTCGCAATCGACTGCAGTCGTGGAATATAAGTTCATTTAGGTGCTTTGGGCCACGGTTCTGCTCACCCACCATCCAACTTGGGTACCTTAGACTTTGGTACCTCCAGACTTCCAGACTTTTAAGATCCTTGGGTGGGAAAAGGCCCTCAAGTGAAAAGGCCAGGACG